CAGAGTACATCGAACTTGTATATAACGAAGAAAATCCTAGAAGGGTATGCCTGTTTTTTCGTGCTACTTGTCATTGCATACCTACGGTTTGTGAATGATTCGTCTCTTTTATATTTGATTAGCGCCAAACGGCATCAACTCTGAGTCCCAGTACTGCAGCACAAACGAAACGTCGGGGTGTTTTCAGTAGCACCAAGACATGTTTGAAGACCCGTTTTCAATCAGAAACGATCTACTTTACAACAATTTTGTTCGCAAGCGATGGTAAAGTTTTGGTAACTTCGGGAAGCAAAGTGTTTCCCACCATCGAAGTAATACGCAACAATAAATTGTTTGGAAATCTTGAGGATGACAGTGACGAATTTTCCCATGCGATGAGAACCTCCTTGGATTGGACAATTTCTGATGACACTTTAAGTGATACAGACTCTCTTCACTCAAACTCGAGCACGGGCGAATCGACTGATTCAACATCCCAAAATTATCACTATAACGATCATGATAATTTATGGTCACGTTCTTTTTCTCAAGCTTCCCTGAAACTAAAAGGTGAATTATCCCTAGAATCGTTGGGTACCATGTATGAGCATGTGGTGTCAATGAATCTAACAAAATCCAAGTTTATTGTGACCATCCAACATGTTCCGAACGGTGTCAAAGAGGAAATTTCTCCTGATTTGATTAAGGCTGGGATACTGAAATGGAAAAATTCCGATGAGATCAGTAATATCTATCAGAAAGATCCTCATCCGGTTTGGATAAATTACATTGATAGCTGGTGTTCCAGGCAAGCCAAATTATTACCCGGACTTTACTTGGGGGTATTGTACACCGAAAGTACTCTGCAAGGTATCAAGATTTTAGTACCGAAAGGCCGTAAACAACTTATTCCCCTGGATAAAATTCGGGACGAAGCCACGATAACTCCCGAGGAAGCTAGTTGGATTAAATCTTTGACCTGTCTGAGTCAAGATTGTTTTATCGATTTGGCGTCTTCAACCAGAGTTGATGAGAATGTATCAAATTTAGGACAATTTCAAGCTTCGTTCGTGGATTCATATAACAGATTACAGCGTGAAACAAATTTAACTTGGGAAGTTAGTGATATCTATAACGAGCAGACCGTGGACATTTATCTTGATTCGCAAACAAATCGACCATATACAATGATGAATGAACTCGAAGATAACATCATCGATCAATACGGAACTTCTCATGGTGATCTTTACCTGGATCATAATGCGAAAATCGGTCCCAAGAGCAGCACCTTCAGTAAACGTAGTAGCAAATTGTCACAACAGATCAATCTGGGATTCGATGAAAACGAAGAAAAATCTACGCTCCCCAATTTTCCTGAATCTCACAAGGCTGAATTGGAACTTTGTGATGGTGGTGCCAAACTCTCCGCCAACAATAGTGACAATGAAATTGATCATATTGATCATAAGATGGTTTACGAGGAAGATATTTCAAATACAATAGATGACAAAGGTGTTGGTAACGAGATCAAATTTAAAGGAAAAGATGTTGCTATGCATAAGAATAACGCTGTAGAATCCGAAGAAGAAGAGGAGGTCATGTCAAATGTTAAATCTTCCAATTCAACAGGAGTCGCAACTTCTGTTGCCGAGGAGGCAACATCCGCCTTAGCATCAATCTTATCTTTCAACAATATTAATTCTATCCGACCGTTCGCTCGTATCGTCTTAATAGTCAAACCCATGCGACAGCCTCATCAAATCCGTGATGCATATGTTTCTGGATCATGCATGTTATATCCATTTCCATTATATGACGCTCTGCAACATGCTACATTCAATGCTTCCTTGTATGCATGTTCTCGCCGTTCAATGCAAATTCTGCAAGCCAGTCGGGTCTATTTCACCCGAGAACTGGTGAGACACTTACAGAACATTGACAATTTCTCAGAAGTCAATGAACAAAACATAGAAGATTACTTTTTCGATCCAGATGAGTTTTTAAAGATTCCCGATGAAGCGAGGAAAATCCAGCAAGCCCTTGATATCATTCGAGACGAAGTCGTCACTCTTAGGCAACAATGGAACATTGCATCTTGGACAATGACCGCTATAGAATGGGACCGCCAAAGAACAATGCAATCCTATAATTTTGGTGGTAGACCAATGACCTTAAACGTTTCATCAAGAAATTCTTCCCAGAGTCGTGCAGCTTCAGTTCACAATGTTCACCTATCAAATAGTTGTAGTGAAGATAACGATGAGAATTCCGAGGCCAAGGGTGCAAAAGTCATCAAAAATGATGCCACATTGCAGATCGAATTTTTACGAGACCTTATGTATCATGCGCCCGATCGCGCGTGGAATCATATTCGTTTCTTGGGAATTCCACTACCGACCTTTAACAATAACTTGGAGGCTATTAGTGGTGATAGTCGCATTAACAAGCAGAAGAAGCAAAATAACAAGTCGTCCTCGAACACTCCGAAGGGCACCACTTGCAAGCCTCCTCCGCCAATTCTGATGTCATATTTATCCTCATTACCCGCATTGACTCCAATGGTACCCGAGAAAAAACGGTTATCTACTTCATCGGCAATATCAAGTAGTTCCAGCAATTCAATCAATTCAAATAATTCAACAACTGCACCACCTTTACTGCCCGTCAGAAAACAGTCGGCGAGTCGTAGACTGATGAAGACTCTTGGACTCGTTGGCCGTGGGCAACAAAATACTGAACCTGAATTGCCCCCGATTCCCAATCAATTGATCGCAAATCATAAAGAAAATGGTAAAAGAAAACTTTCGAGTAAACGAGCAAGAGGACTGCATGACAAAAGTGGTGCCGAAGATAATGAGGAATCAATTATCATCAATGTTCCTCTGACCACATCACCTCTGCTCGCTCCATCTTTTCTCGGATCTAACGAAAAAATAGGAGATGAGCTTGAGGTTGATCAAAATGTAATTCGTGTGGATAATGCTTCTGAAAGTGTGGATAATTCTCAGAATTATCATTCTGTTCAAGATGTCGAAAAAAACATTGATAGCAAGGATCTAGTGACTGAATCGGTTGAAAGTCGGCAAGAAATTGACGCGCAAAATAACATTGAACCTCAACATAAACATGTACCATTTGAGATCAAGATAATTTCTGATGAATCTCTTGAAATTACCACTAATGAATCGACCATTAGTACTGTCGGAAATACTATTGTTGCTCCAGAAGCTGTCTCGATGGTGGACAGTGAAGCTTTCTTCGAAGGCGCAGCGGGTGTTGATACAAACGAAAACAATTCTGAGGATTATTCTAATTACGTGGGTAAAGATCCCACTGAATTATTGTCTTCGACAAATGTTGACAAGGCGAATTCTGACGCTAAGGAACCCACTGCCACCACTGTAGAAATAAACGATCAATCCAATGTTGAAGACGAGATGCATCAAGAGGCGATTGATGCTATCATTGATGCCATAATCGATGTTAATTGTGAGGTTTCAAAACCGTTAGAAGAGGATACCGAAAATCTTATTGCTTCATTATCCAATAATTCACAAACTCTGTCGATCAACTCCACATCAACTTCCGCTTCCACGACTACCACCACCTCCGCAACTGACACGCCGTTGTCATCAAGGGCTTCTTCGTCCCCATCCACACCCCAGCCGCCACCTCCTCCCTCTTCTCCGATAAATGAATCCAATCATGTTTCACATTCTTCAAGTTTAATATTGCCGTTATCATCGGCACCCGAGACACCCCCTCAAAATTTCCTACGATCCACACCTCCGACTCCCACCACTCCATATTTTCCGGCTCGCACCTCATATTTCTCGGAAGATTCAAATCCCTCTTCACCTGATTTTCCGCCCGAAC